ATGATTATTAATTGTACTTCATTGAATAGTATTAACAGATAATGTTATCAAATCTAGAATTTATCATTATACGTCAAGATCATTTTAACCCATTTTTATATATGAGACGAAATTGTCTGCGAAACCAGGAACGCAGTTTTAATTATGCCACTATGCTCCCCTAATTTGGCCTAGTATATAGTACTCTCTGAAAGTTTCTTGTTTCAGCAACTTTAAAAAAAATTCGTAATGATAGAATTCGGCTATGTTTATTTTAAAAGTTATGGTGCTCGGTTTTTTTTTATCATCGAGAAGTTTTCAATATATAAATGACGAAATTTTTTTTTTTACGTTATAAAATTTTTTTATTAAATGCTCATAATCCAGTAATCTGAAAGGTCAACCATACCAATAACGATAATAACTATAAATAAAAATATAATAAATGCATTTTGCTAGTTACTTTTACATTTTTAAAATTTATCATTATTTTATCCTTTTTTTTTTATAGATTACGTATAAAAAATATTGGTCATATGAATTTTAACTATGTAATCATACGTAATCTTTATCATTGGTTTATAAAAGACGCGTACTATTTGTCTTTTTATTTTCGCAAAAAAGAAACAGATATGGAAGAACAATCCCAAAGTATTTAAAATAATAATTAAACCTTAATTTCATTATATATTTTTCTCTTTATAAAGAAGTTTGCTCATTAACATAAATATACTAAAGTCACCCAAGAATTTGAGTTTCTCTTACGCGAGAATAAAACTTTAATCCATGAGTAAGTATCTAAAATAATAAATAAACAAAAAATAAATAAATAAATAAATATATTTCGATTTTTATAAAATTGAATAACTTAAATTCTTTATGAATTTGTAGTCTGAACAGTCATCTATCAAATTTGAATTCGAGTATTTATGAAACGGATGCTAAAATTAATGAATCATGGAGCTCTTGTAAGAAGCTAAAGTAAAAATTTATGATATTATATTTAACCTTTGCTGTTTTTTTTTTTTTTCGAATACAATGAATATAATTGATTGCTTTCTCTCAATATAAATAATTTTAGAGAAACTTATGAAATGAGAATTGAAAGTTCACAACAAGAATTGTTAAAATGGTTACAAAAAATTAATAAAACAATTCGTCAAGAGGATGAGAATACTGTTCAAAAAGGAAACCTTGACATGCTTTCTCAAGAAAAACAGGAAAGTCTAAAATGTCTGGAAGAAAAAATATGTGAATGTTTGTAAAAAAAATTTTTCAAAAATTTTTTCAAAACTTTTTTATAAAAACTTTGTAATGATTCTAAATTAGGCTAATTTTGGGTTCATGTCATTTGCCCTACAACAATTGCCCGACAATAATTTTTTAGTAATATTTTTTAAGAATATTATTAAATAAAATAGCTGTCGAGCAAATTGTTGTAGGGCAAATGACATGAACCCGCTAATTTTTCGTTCCATAGTGCAAAATATGATCGAACAAAAGCTTTCAAAATCGGCTCTCGAAGGTTTATTTAATTACGAATGTAAGTTATAAGCACGTTACACTTAAATCGATGCATGACATGAGAATTACTCATATACTGTACAAATAAAAGTTTCTCAAATAAAAGAACTTTCTCAAGATTCTGTCGATGTTGACGAAACGACTAGGGGTGACACATCTGAATTAGATTTAATGTATGAAAATGTGCCTTTGCATTTACGTCAAGATAATCGGTAAATAATTTCACCTTGTTCTATTTTAACTATCTTAGCGCGTAATTAACTACTAGTGTTAATTCTTTGATAATAGAGACTTACGCGAGCAATTATTGAAAAAGATAAAACTTAATAAAATTAAAATTCGGGAATTAGAGGAATCGATCAAACGTATAAATAGGTAAATCATATTTCATAAATTTATCTTTTGTGTCCTCATCTTAAGTAGATATATTATTTCTTTATGAAATAGACTCGCTGATGAATGTGAGGCAAATTCGTTGCACGTGACAACAGAAAACAATATATAATATATACTGATATAACGTCCCTAGCTTTCCCTAGTGATATAACTAATTAATTGATCATTCGATTAGTTTGCTAATCGATGTGTATGTATGTACTGACTGCTATGAATATAGTATATGCATTCCTCAAAATATTAATGTCTATTTAATTTATCAAATATACTAACTATTCGAAAGCACTTGAACTAATATTTAGTTGCATGATGTCGGTTAAATAAATAGCCTGTAGAGAAAATCGACGTAGGCGTAACTCACAAATAGTATCATTTTTAAATCTCAAAAAGAACAAACCTAAATTTGGCGACACGTGCATACAAGGATACCAGATACTTAACTAGTCGATAATCAACTAGTCTGAATAATCAATTAGTAACTATAATCGATTATTTACCCATAACACTAACTCTCCCACAAAAAATTGTTCGTCCCCTGTAATATTGGCCAATCGGATTTCAGGATTAGGTGTAACATAAAAATTGAAGCAAAGACCACTTTTTTACAAAAAAAAACAATAGCTCTAAATTTTAATTAGGAAATCACCTTCTGCGGCCTAATTAAAAATGTTCCTCGTGAAATTTTACCAATAGCTCCAACCCTAACCTTACACTGTTCTCACCCTAACCCTAACTATAATGCGGTTTTCTATTTACACGCGACTTTTTACTTAAAAAACAAAGCACGTTTGTTTTGACTATCACGTTACAATTTTTTGTGTGAACAGTGGTAATTAATTAACCCGTACGAAAGATGTGCAAAGTATAAAGAAAATTTATAATTTATTTAATCTAAAATATAAAGGTTTCTTTTTTTGTTTTATCATAATAATGTGTGATAATTATTTTAAACGTTGCAAGCTTATAACCCAATTTTTTCTATTAAATTGATGAATTAGAATGTGTTAATTTTAAGTGTTATCCAATTAAATTGATAGAATTTTTTTTTCATATAACTTATTCTTACCAACAAATGAGCTTGGTTTTCACTAAGGCTATCTCCAATTTTGCAAATGGTATAATCTTCCTGCAAACAAATTTCATTATTTTCTATTACAATTGGTACCTCCATCTTCTTAAGAAAATTCTCCAAAGTTCTTGGTACAGGTTGACCACCTTTTTCCGGACTAAACGAGACAATTCCTGCAGGAATTGTTACAGCCTCTGTTACAATACTTTTCATTCTTGCATAATCTTTAAAAGTAGCTTTTTCTATATTTTCTCGAACTGCTTCGACAGGCTCGCTGGTAATAAGTATGCCACATTCACCATATATTTCCTTTTTTAAATATATATATATATATACATGTAAGTTTTAAATTGTAATTTCATGAACGTTTCTTATCCAGATAGGGAATCAAAAAAAAAAAAAATTACTTTAGAAAATTCACTCAAATTATCTTCAATTTCCTCAGATTTACTATTTCCCAGTGCCATCGTTAAAATGGAATTTTTGTGAAAAAATATTCTTTTTTTTTATATAAAAAAGATTAGTGATGTTAATTGATATCGAGGCTACGAAAAAAATATACATCAAATGGAACTCATTATTTATTATTATTTTTTATTACCTTCCCTTCGATTTCCAGTCAGCACGAAACTGTTGTAAGAAATGATCACGCATGTCTTGAACTTTCAGCAGGAAAATAAAATTAAATTGTTTAACGCCTTCTCTAATTTTCGCTATTTGCTATAACCAATTCGCATAGTTAATATTATTATACAAATAATATTAATAAAAAAAGGAAAGAAAGAATTACGTTTTCAAAATAGACTTTTCTCCCCGCGAGTTGTGAATCAATTCTCTTTGCGAGCGCGTCTAATTAAAATAAAAGAAAATATTCGATATTAAAAATTAAAAACAAAAATTTATGATATTGTTTATTTACTTTGTGCCTTGTCTCTTTGTCTTGATCTATTTCTTTTCGTTCTCGCCATTATATACGAAGGTATTCTTATGTTAAAATTTTATTACCGTTACAGTTTTCAGTATTTACGATTCACAAAAATTCATATCACATGACTATTGCAGATCTGGTGTAACGTGAAAATCTGCCAAATTTTCAAATCAAATTTTATCGTTATTGTCTGGAGCGAAGCGACAGACTTATATTTCTACGCCCCTTGATGACCAAAATTACGTTTTTGATAATTTATAGTAAAATATTAAAAACGTAGTTTTGGTATTTTCCGGATGTAACGCCCCTGAAAAATTTTATTTACATACGTACATAACAAGACTTTTCAGAGGTGAAGCGAGCTTCAGACTCATACCGGTTTCCGGTTCCTAGTGTAACTAATTAAATAGATTCTGCTTGTTTAATATAATAGCTTTTACAGGCTTGAGTCCTCACTTTTCTAATCCTAGTTCTCAAATAAAATATATAAGATAGTTATTTAGATAATTTATAACTTTTAGTAAAAATCTAACTTATACTTTTATTAATTTAGAATTAGAAGTTATTAATTTAATAGCATATTGGGTCTTATACAGAATTTTTAAAAGTGAAATGATATATATAAACAACAGAGTCTTAATACCCCAAGCAGAATATAGAGCTCAGATAATAATACTAAACAGAGAAACTTGTAAAAGGCTCTATAGACCTTTTCTAAAACTAATCAAAATAAAAAGCAACCTGGTACTAATTATTTCAAATAATATTCTCAATCACAGAAACATTATTGGAATATAGCTAATATGAAAGAGTATCATTATACACCATATAAATAATCTTGCTATAAGGTTGAATAATAATGATGTATTTGAATAAACAACTAAGCTTAAATTAAGACAGATACAAAAGTACAAAATTAATTCTCATGCTTGAAGGTGAAAAACTAAACAACCTGAGAGATAAGCATAATTTAGTAGTAAAAATACTAAAAGAGTCAAACAAGATTGGTATCACAATAAAAAGTAGAGTGCTAGAAGATAGTTTAAGAATCAATAACAATAAAAAGGAGATTTATGATCTTGTAAATAAAAAATATAGAAGTAAATACCTAGAAGAACAAATATTACAACTATTTATTATGAACCAATTAATAAATAAAAAAGGTACAAATATGTTTATTTAGGAAAAAATAAGAAATTTTTAAGACAAAAAGGGTGCAAATAGAAAACCAAAATGGTTTTCTAATTTGGAAAGCAAGATTATAGCAAATCAAAAATCATGTATAATTAAAAAAATAGATGATTAGAAAAGCTCAAACTACTAAACAATAGACCAATACTGCAACAAATCACATTTGATAACAAAAAACATGTTATAATAATCTTCAAAGACAGCAAAAAAACCCACATTATGGTAAGATTCTAGCTCAAAATAAAACAAATAAAAGTTTCACTATAGAATATTAGAAAGAAAAGTCTAGCAATTACAAAAAGAAAGTAGAGATTACAAAATATAAAGGCTATTACCAAAACCAAAATAGTGACAAAAAAAACTACACCTTAGTTAAAAAGTTCAAAAATACAACATAAGCTTTTAGTAAAAGATTGATTAAAAAGTATAAAGATAAAATACTTTGTGAAGTATATATACAAGATCTCTTTCTTAAAAGATACAATAGTTACAACAAGCAGAAAGCAATATACCAATTATTTATATTAAAAAAAGAGAAGAAGAATTAATTAACAAGTGGATTTTGAAAAAAAAATATAAAAGAAATCTTGTCAACTAAATACAAAGAAATGAAATATTGCAAGAAATAGTATATTTATATAGATGAGTTACTTGTGAGTGAAAACAAGTCTAATAGCTTAGCCAAGAAAAGGATAGGCATAGAGTGAATTGTATATCTAATAGTTGCCAAGCAAAAAAATATAGCAAAAGCAATATATCTAAGTAAAGCAATATCAGGTTGGCCTTCATCTATATATGTAAAGCTAGAAGCAATTGCAATAGTATTGCTAGCAGTATTAATACAAAGTTTAATTAAAATCTTTTTAGACAGTACTAATACTATAAACTTAATTAAAAAGATAGTTAAAAAAAATAAAATAAAAGAAAAAATCAAGTTAAGTAATAGCAGTTTAATAAAAGTAATAATAAAATGCCTAAAAAAAAAAGATATTATATAGAATCTAGTTAAAGTTAAAGCTTATACTGATATCAAAAGAAATAAAAGAGCAGACATATTAGCTAAACATGGTCTTAAGAGCAAAACAAGCTTTATTATAAACTCAAATTAGGTTATAGATTTAAAGATAGTCTTTAAATAAAAAAGTTATATTATAGACAAACTCTTGTGAAAGTTTATAAAAGAGATTACAAATACTATATTTAGAATCAACTTTTAAATATTAGTAATAAAATAAATAGTAAACAATCAGATATAGAAAAAGATTAGAAAAGTATATAGTATATATTAAAAAGCATTATTGTAGAAGTAAGAAAAATATTAGAAGATAGGTACAAAAAATTAAGTATATAAAAAAAAGCATACCTACAATATTAGTTTTGCATAAAAGATATCTAGAAACCTACAAAAATAACTTTTGTATTGCATGTTGCAAAAAAACAGAGACATTAAAATATCTGGCAGAATATAATATATACAGATCTTTTAAAAAAAAATAAAGTCAGAAAGATATAAAGAAATCGAAGAGACAAGTAATAGATACTAATATATATAGAATAAAAGAAACAAGTTTTAATACAATAATAGTATGAGAAGTGAAAACTAATAATTATGAAATTAGTATCAATGAGCAAGAACAAAAAAGCAACAAAGAAAAACATGCCAAGTGCAAAATATTTAAGATAGTTAATAAAGAATTCTATTAAAAAATATAGAATTTCAGATACAAAATAGTTTTAAAAGAAATTAACAGAGTATAGAATCGATTTTTCATTTATATAATTTTCTGATATCATATTGAAAAATTTATTAATATTAGGGTTTGGATTAGGGTTTAGATTAGAGTTTGGGTTTAAAAGCTATAGTATAGTAAAATTGTGCAAGAAAAATTTTTTATTAAAACCAAAAAGGTGATTTACTAGCCTATATTTTGTGATATACGTAAATTTTACAAAGCAAACATTTGTTTTGATTTTTTTTATATTATACCTAATCTCAGTTTTTAATTGGCTGACTAAGATCAGAAAATTATATAAATAAAAAATTGATTTTGTGCCCTGGCATTGTTGTCTTAGAATAGAAAGAAAGAAACAAAATAGAAAAACAAAAAAAAAGAAAAAGAAGCCTAGAAATAGTTTCTATACTTGAAAAAAGAAAAGATAAAAAAAAAAAAGAATTTTAAAACAAGCAAAGAGAAAGAAACACATACAGAAAACTATTAAATAACAAAAAAAAAAGAAAAGCTACAAAGAAATTATAAATTAGCCAAAAGTATAATACAAGATTGAATACAAGACTTCTCAAAACTGGC